TTACCGTTCCTGGACCTGATCTGCTTATCTCTGCTCCTGACCAGCCACGTACCCGGACGTTCAAGTCCCTATCTCGCAGACACGTCCGTTAGATAGTGGTTACGCAATATGGAAGCTATGTTGAGCCCCGTTAGGGGAACCTGTTCAGCCAAATGTCCAGATGATGCAGATGATGCAAAGCAGAAAATTGCATTTCTTGCATCCCTAAAGGCTTCAAGATAGCAAACATTAGCACGAATTTATCTTCCAGCACTTTAAGCCGGTTCCAAAAACGTGAAAAACACAGGATTCTAGAGCGAAAATGCCCCCCCTAGCTAAAGCTATTAGTACTCGCTGTACTTGCGGTATTGCGGTTTAACGCGTGCCTTATAAAAACGCCTCGGCACCTTCGGTGCGGGCGGATTTCATTGTTTGCTTTCAATAGTTTTCTCAAACACTTTCCATATATGAAGTTATACCTCTTATTGAAAAACATGTGATGCCTTCACTTCAACCATATACAATGTTAAACTAGATAATGTGCTAATGTCGATGCCATCACTGTAATGTTTCCAACTATCAAACTCATTAAAATCCCAGTATGAATTTATAACTTGTGTAAATGGCAATGTAAAGGGTTTCGTCCTGTCAATCTCTATCAGTTTTGTTGTATCAATGTTTTTATCAACATAGCCTGATGTGATTCTAGTCCGACATTCATCCAATATTGCTACATCAGTCATGAGATGCTGACTGCATGCTGGTTTCAGCAAAGTACGCATACAAACGCAGTTGTGCGCGTACATTGCTCAAACCAAGAAACCAAGAACCAAGATTGCACACAACTCTTGTCAGGAACCTTGGCTTGATGCAGCCAATGTACATTACACAAGTTGGATGACCTGGGTCTCAAAGGACACACCGCAAACTAAGATTCATTTTCATAGGTCTGTGCAATCTTGGTTCTTAGGTTGTCATCGCCAACCGTAAATTGTGCAAAAGGTAGGTTTCTTTTGGATAAGTAGTGTACTTGCCTCTGAGTTTAACTGCGCCAGCCTTTTGTGGATCCCCCATTCCATCACTTCTGTCGCAAACGCTGAGGCGCAGGGGCCATAGTACCCATCGATCACGGCCACTAAGCTGATGATTTCGGATCCAAAAGAAGTGCCCATGCAGTGCCGTTTGCACTTTCTTTTGCTTTGTTAATTTTTGTTCGTTTTCGACAGGTTTGGTCTATACACGCCGGGAAGTCTTCAACAAGCACCGGAGCTGTGCTGGACATGACAATGGGGTGGCGCCTCGGACATCTTGAAAACACATCCATCACACAGAACAGGTGAGCTTATTGAGGTAGTTCAAGTCACCATAAGTCACTCAAGTCACTGGAGGGTCTTGCAGTGTTTTGCATGTTTTGCCCCAGTTGAGGTTTCTTTGGGCAACTTGGTTTTGCTGATTATGCTGATTTGTATGGAAACCTGACTTGCGCCATGAAGCTTACATGGACGGAAACTGACCATCGGTTGTGGAGGGGCATGTTCATAACCAGGGGATGGATCAAACGAAGCGTTGGAGAACATCTCATGGCTGTGTTCCAATGCAAGTGTCGGCGTTTCGAGGTCCATACGAAATCATCGCCGACATCGGTGCCTTGTAACGGGTGCATTGATTGTTTGTCCACTTTGTCTAAGCCTTCTGCTGACGTGCAGCTCCCTGAATGTGAGGATATGGTGCATTCAACCCAGAAAGTCTTGTGGAAACAGAGATGGCAGGGTGGGGAGGACCTGCCTTGCCAGGAATTCCCGACACTACGCGCGGACAATATCAGATTACTTTATTGTTGCCAAAGTTGAAAGATGCTTGGTGATTGCGGCCGTCACATGGATGCCTATCCGCCCAGGTCTATGGGCAGAGTGGACCTATCGAGGACACCTAGCATCAGAGGTCACGAGCAGCTCAGATGAAGTCAACGAAGGGCGTTCAATCCAAAATTGTGGAGAATGGTTCGGAATTGCTTCGGCCACCGCAAGTGTAGTCAGAGGGTCCTCGTGTCCGGATTTGGATTCGCAGGAAACAATCGATGTACCCCGCCCCCCGCGTACATTTCCTTGAGTATGCTGCCTGGGGTGGCTTTCCCCTCTCGCTTTCATGCCTGCATACGCTTGTTGGGGAAATCAAGCTACCGAAGAAGGCAATGACAGGTGGTGAGTCAAACAGCCCTACAAACCAATCAAGGCCACGAGCGCACTTGCCAGAAACTTGTCTCTTACATTGGCCTTGAACCTGGCCCCTTGTGTCCCCGCTGTGTTTCGTTGAGTTTGTTTGTTTTTCGTTGGCCTTGCTGCCCCGCATGTCCATACAATCCCCAAGAAAAGCATAGTTGCATCAATTACAGTGTACCCACTCCCTTGCATACAATTAAGGTCTTGATGATCCAAGACGTACCCCCTACCTGTCATACATATTCTGGATCCGGCGTGTCCACCGAAGAGGACGTGAACCATGCATCACATTTTCGCTATGTCAAACCCCTCGTGTATGAACACCCTCTCGTTATCTCTCGTTTATATAGAGTTAAACTCAGTGATGGGAGCACAGCACCATATGAATATAAACGAGACCAAAGGCGATGCATAGCGGACCACGTGTGAAATTTGTTGATTGGTCCCTGACCAAAGCATCAGGAATATGAGAACATCATACTCCAGAACTGTACGGTTGCGTCTCAAGATGTAGAGGAAACCCAACCACGTGGGGCAAGAAGAGTTAATGACAACCCGGTGGTTGAGCGTCACTCGATGCTGAGTCAGACCCATAACAGAGTGCATGACACGATGTCTCACCTAAGGCCCCTACCTCTTCATCAATGCTGAAGCTTTTGCCGAGCTTGCACGGACAATGGGAGGCTCCACCTTGAGCTTGTATGTCAAGTGCTCGCCACGAAACAATTTGCCTGCAAACACTGACAGGTGCCGCCTTCAAGTATCTACAAACTTTCGGCTTGCTGTGTCCAAGATGCATGAGGCTGTTTACCTTGCCCCTGTGGAGACCCGGATTTTTGGCCAGACAAGCACCTGAGGTATTTGTCTCATATCGAGGATCAAGTGACCTCGGGGCAGCTGCCGCTTGACACACAGGGCATAGGGGCTTTCTTGCTCCGTTCGCAAACCATGGTTTTCCGTGGTAATTCTACTAGTAACAAGAAGCTATATAGTTGTAACAAGTGCCACGCTAGTAGTAACAGGTGCCTTACTAGTAGTAACAAAAGCTAGTTGTAATATCGAGGAGCGACTTGTGCACGGACCTTGAGACCATTGCCATGCTCAAGGAACGTGCAGAGCCTGAGCCCAAGAGATGCGGGGAACTCCAGTATTGTCAAAGAGAGGGGTCTTTAACCAGAACTCCGAAATGTGCAGCATAACCATGGGTGCTTGACGGCAAAGGTTCATCGATTATCATCCACGTACGTCTCTCTTCCCCACGTGACTGGCTGGCGTTCTATCGGGCACCTGAGGTGCTTCATGATGGTGGGCTCGCGCAACATCCGGTCCTCTGCTGAATCCAAGGTGTCACTCTCCAATCTCATGTCCTGGTCAAGGAAAACTCTGATGAGAACTCCTTCGCCGCGATAGGATGGAGTCACACAAGGAGGCTCACTTAGCTTGGTGACAGAGCTCAAGCTGTGCTCACAGTAGGCGAATCAGTCTATATAGTTGTTCAGGCAACTGCGATAGGCTCTAAATAATGTGTTCTTCAGATGCTTTTGGGTTTGCAGGTGGCATTCTCACTCGGGGCAGTCATTCGAAGAACGTGGGCTTTGAGCTCCAAACCGTTCAGATGCCAAAAGGCATCCATGGACTGACCATGCGAAAAAAGCAACGGAAGACACCACTTCCCGCAAAAGTGCTTTGGTGGTTGAACTCAGGGAGTCCAAGTTGAGCTGCACAGGAAACGCCGAGGAGTCAGTGTAGTGACATTCCATGGCAACCAAAGTAAAGCAATGGAGCCAGTGGAGGATCTCAGGATTTTGGACCTCCCTACAGTGCCTACAGTGTAAGCAGTGTGGCCAAGCTTGTCAGTTGTGTTGGATCATGGTTAGTGATGGAAGGTCGAGCGTAACAATGTTACAGAATAGTGACCACAGGCATTTGGCAAACCGTCCTGGCTCATTAACTTTTGGATTTGTGGAAGGCATGAGTTTCGGATGTATTGTATGCAGGCATGCAGCTGGGAAACATGGCTTTCAATTTGGACGCTATCATTTTCAAACCCGGGCTCTTATAGAATATAGTATCGTGCTGTAGTGTACAGTGCTACCAGTCCAAGACAGATGGGGCGCTGAACAGCTTGAAACAGTGCTTCCTTGACAAGGGAGTGTGCTCCCCTTTGGCAAGCTTATAGCAAACATACCTAGCCGAAGTAGGAAAGGGCCATGCAGTATGCACAAAGTAACCAAACGTCCAATCTTTTTCCTTCCGTGCCCTCCCCCACCCCTCCCGCCGACCTAGCGACTCCGCAGCACAGATGTTTGAATGGCAATGGTGCCTGAAATCCTGTGGCCTGTGCCTAGACTAAGCCCCTGGAATCCGGGAAGTGTTTGCATTCGAGCTGAAGAACCTCACGCTGTGACTGAGGCCAAGCTCACTCAACCAGGAATGTTGGAACACACTAGTTTGTGCGAAACAATCCAGTGTGTGTGGTAAATGTTCATGGTTGGTCCTTTTGTGGGGGCCCTCCTAAGAAAAGATTTGTATTCATGCATTCTCATGCTTTGGACTTCCGCACGCGACAATGCTATCTACCCGGCCCGAACACCCTGGTAACGCAGCTGACCTTTGCCTCTCAACCTGATCAACGTGCTCCACGGAAAGCATTTCGTCACAGCCGTAAGCCACATGCCCGACCCTTCTTAAACATTTTGCAACCAGGGTTGTCAGGAGAGCTTCTTCCCCCGGATCGCTTGCAGGAGCTGTCCAGGATCACAGATCGAGCATTTGGAGGTCCTGAGCGGGTCACCGGCTCAAGGCAATCTTGGTTTGGCGTTTGTTGCGAAGCGGCTGGCAAGTTTCAGCAGGCCTTGACATCCATGCAGCCCTTTCGGGAAGACAAGGGCCTGCAGGTGTTTTTGAAATGCGATGGAATGACCCTGCATCTCAGGTGGAGATGCTGCGAGACCTTCTGTCCCAGCTGTCGAAGTCGCATGCAATCACTTTGGTATCGTCATCTTCCTCAGTTTACCGGTTTACCCTTGCTGTGTTGATGTGGTTGTGCTTGGGTTATGGAAGTTGCCAGTCGTTTCATGGCTCTCTAGCTGAAAGGGCACGTCATGAAGGCAAGTCTGCAGCACACAATCCCTAAATTCCTTGTAATTCTTCGCCCTGATCCTTTCATCCTTTTTGAGGCATGTTGGGACCAGTCTATCATTCAAACACGTGGACAAGCACTTCCAGAAACATAGGCTTTGCAATGGCACGTCCTTCCCAGTGAGGTGTCGAAGGTCACGGGCGGCAGCAGATGCAAGGCATGGACCTACATGGGCGCCGCGTGCTGGCGGCTGGCCATTTTCATTCTTTATATCCTTTGCGCTGAGGGTGATGCTTGGCCGAGCGGAGTAAACTCGGGAAATCTAACAGCAGAATCATGGCGAATATATACGCATGAAAATGCTGTCAGAGTCCCAACTGCCATCACCCAGTGTCGAGAGAAACCCTTTCCAGAAAGTAAAGCCTTTGATGAGTCGTCGATAGCTGAGGCCTTTGTTGGCACAGTCCGCTTGGACCTGGAAATTGCACCGCAGTGCGCTCCTGGAACCACGGTCGTCTTGAAGCAACTAAGTTGCCTCTAAAGTGCTGGTGCAATGATCTCAAAGCCCTGGGCAATGTTCTGTAGATGCGATGACTGTTCGTTGCACTAGGTCCAACCGCAGCTCAGTCGAGGCATCCTGGCTGCCGGATTTCGCCCTGGTTTCCAGCAGTGCTCCTGCAGAGCGATGTGGAAGATGGCAATGCTACGGTGCTCTATGGTTGGAGCCAGGATGCACAGGAGAAGATGGGGCACCCAGAAGCGTGGAATGATTTTTTCTCGGAGGCCCATACTGAAGGCAATAGATTGTGCGCTACTACGGCATGATTTTGTTGTGACTCAGAAACGAAGCACCATGCTTTTGTTTTACCCCAGATAGCGAAGCTATGGGGTTCTGACTTCAAATAATAATGAGTTGCCCGTGCGCGCTTTCGAGACAGGTTGCTGGTGCCGGTGCTGGCGCTGGTGCTGTGAGCTGGCTGTGCTCGCGGTGGAGACAAGTTGCTGGTGCCGGTGCCGGGTGCCGGATGCCAGTGCTGGTGCTGTGAGCTGGTTTGCATGTGGTGGAGACAGGTTGCTGGTGCTGGTGCTGTGAGCTGGCTGTGCACGCGGTGGAGACAGGTTGCTGGCTGGTGGTGGTGCTGGGTGCCGGGTGCCGCGCTGGTGCTGGTGCTGTGAGCTGGCTGTGCACGTGGTGGAGACAGGTTGCTGGTGTTGGTGCCGGTGCTGGTGCTCTGAGCTGGCTGTGCACGTGGTGGAGACAGATTGCTGGTGCTGGTGCCGGGTGCCGGTGCTGGATGCCGGGTGCCGGTGCTGCCGGGTGCCGGTGCTGGCGCTGGTGCTGTGAGCTGGCTGTGCACGCGTTGCTGGTGCTGGTGCCGGGTGCTGGCTGTGCGCGTGGTGGAGACAGGGTACCGGGTGCCGGTGCCGGGTGCCAGTATGGGCGGTGGCTGTGTGGCTGGGGGGGAGGACTTTTGGTTCGCCAGATAACGACAGCTATGGGGTTCTTATTAATTCAACTGACAATGAGGTGGTTGCGCGCGCTTTCGAGACGGTGTGGTGCTGGGTGCTGTGGAAACAGGGTGCCGGTGCTGGGTGCTGGTGCCCGGTGCTGGTGCGGGCTGTGGTGCTGGTGCTGGGTCCTGTGAGCTGGCTGTGGGCAGTGCGTGTGGTAGAGATCGGCGCCGGTGCTGTGCAAGGGTGCCGGGTGCTGGGTGCCGGGTGGTGCTGGGTGCTGGGTGTACCGGTGCTGGGTGCTTGTGCTGGGCGCCGTGAGCTGGTGTGCCGGTGCTTGGTGCTGGTGCCCGCTTCTGACAGTGAAGTGATAACAACCGCCGCTTCTGACAGTGAAGGGTAACAAACCGCCGCTTGCAGCAGTGAAGGCCGACCAAGCGCCGCTTCTGACAATATGACAATGAAGTGCCAGCAGTCATGGGCCGCATGAACTTATGCGCGCAACATCATACGGTGTTGTCGCTTGAGCGTTCTTTGTCTATTAGCGCTGTGGGGTATTTACACTCTTCAGGTTCTGTTTTGGCCGACAGCCGTGTCAAGGGCTGTACTCTTTGCGCGCATACTTTTGCACGTACAATGTTCTATGCGCAACGTCAGGCTCTCAACCGACAATTGTTTCAGCATGCTACACACACAATAGTCGTGCTGGATATTGCTTGGCCTTGGGCGAGTGAAGCCGACGGGCTTTGCCGTTTGCGCGCATACTTTTGTGTGCATAGTCTTATACGCGCAAGATCATACGGCCATATCGTTCTGCAGATCGTTGCTTCAAGCATGCTACAAAGTCAATAGTGGCGCTGGATACTGCTTGGCCTTGGGCCAATGACACATACGGGTTTTGCTGTCGCGCGCATGCGCATAAGCTTATACGCGCAAGATCATACGTTGTTATTCCCCAAATAGGGATAGCTATGGGGTTCTTGCTGCAAATCAGAATATCCCCACCCCCTGTCTCTACAAACCGGGAGGGGACCCGTCTAAATGTAAGCTACATTTTTCATAGTAACTTTCGCTAATTCTCTTGGTGTTCTTTGAGGTGTGTCAACGCGTCGCTTTTCTGCTGAAAAATTTGGATTAGTTAAAATTAAAAGAAAACATAGATTGTTTTGTATTCTCTGTAGCTTGGCTTGCATATGCGAAAAACTCGCCTGGATCTTGTTAAGTTCTTTGTGCGTAGGCTGGAAGTCGCTGAGCGGTGTGAGCTGAGGTGTGTGTTAATAGTAAATAATTGGTTCCATGCAACTATGTGGAAAAACTCGTACTCACGTAGCGTTTCGGGGCTCGAATTACAATAGAAACATGTGCTAACTCAAGCGATTTGCGTTAAGATAGTTACCAATGAATGACCAGGAAGAAACCCGGCCCACTTACACGTTTCAGTGCTGGGTGCCGCTGAAGCTCCCAATCAATAAAAGGAAATTGACAATCACGAATCACGACGTTCATTTCAACGAAACATGGCATCAGTCCAAATACATTTTGTTAATGTGCAGTTTTGCCATTTCAATAAGTAGACTACTAGCCACCGGTCTACTAGTGTCGCAAACTCAACACAGGTCAACATAAACAAGTGAGTTAAGGAAGAAGCCTCCAACGACGACATGTTATTGTTTGTTTGCTGATGGTTTCCTGGGGGCCATGGCAAACATGGCCACTTGTCCTCAAGTGGTCTGGCTCGCTTCTTTCGGTGATGGCAAAAGGGTAGCTGGTGGGCACCGTGTTCAACACACATGGATCAATGCTGAAGCTGATGGTGACCCGTATGTGCAGTCCTGTTTGCGCTCATATGAGGAGGAGCAAGGGTTGGAAGCAGGAGCTATCATCGACAGATTTGTTTCCGGGAGTGAAATGGTGGCCTTGGTGTATTTGCAGCCTTGTGCTCAGCACCATCCCCTCCTTCCTCTGTGCAGAGAGATGAGAGCCCAATTTGACTTATGGAACCACATCGGTGACGGTGACTTGTTGGACCAAGGACTTTTCTATTTTCATGTTTTGAAAGCCCAGCCAATTTTGCACCATGTTTCACTTCTGGATGCAGAAACAAAATCCGGTAGGCATGCGTGCTTCTTTTGCATGGACAAAGTTTGGGCCCAGCGTTGCTTTACCGCAAGCGTCCTTGGGGTTGATGATGCTACATTTCAAGTTTGGCGTGGTCTGACAGAAGGAAAGGTTCCACTTTTGCCACTCAAGGTGCCTAAATCAATAGCCTTTCTGCTTGCCAACCGGATGTGGACCAAGTTGGCAGTTCCAGAAAAGTTAACAAATATGCGCTTGGTTGCAGGGTGGCATGTGAAGCATATTGTAAGGGCTCCGCCCGGGTGCCGCCGACCCCTTTTCAT